GGGGAAAGTGGATTGGAGGTTTGGACTTGAATAGAGTAACCTATCTGAATTATTTTCAGTACACATCTGTCACTGGTTATACTGCTCCAGGCTTCCTGGAAATAATGCAAATGGTCCCCAAAGGAGCTAGGGGGAAGAGATAAAGATCCTCCAAGATTGGTTGGCAGCTTTCTCTATACACATCAAAATGACGTCGAGCCAGCCTTAGCAGCATTCGGTGATGATGCTGATGAAGTCTCCTCCCTTGTATATGTTATTTCTTCTTAGAGAAATCTGATGTTCTCTGATATGGATGATGACAAGGAGTAATGACAGGCTGTTTCAGCGGAGTACGATATCAAGACTGCTTCTTCTTGTACAGGGAAGTGTAGAGACCCAATGACCATAACGTGGTAGGAGAGACTTCCAGTGTACATTACAACTCATCAGTTCTAGAACGGATCAGATGATTCCCATCAAAGAGGCGGCCTTCCAGGGTAACTTGGACCTTCTTTGGCAACCCAGAAGACTGGAGCCATGACACATGCCGCATAGTCATCTCTGCTGCCATCGATCGCAGCACCATTTCAGCAGCATCAATGCAGGTGTATAGGGAATTTTTCTCTATTTATTGACCCTCCACAGACAAAGATTTTAATTCCTCTCTGAGGTTTGATAGAAGCTTAGTGAGATACTCAGCAACTTTGCTCCACATTAGGTAATCATCATTCGAGAGAAGGGCCTGCTAATTCACAGAAGTCGAAGGCTAGCTGACAAATAACTCTTCTTTCCTAAAAGTCCAATCTTCCTGGCTCCTTCCCCTTTGGAGTAGATCTAAAGGTCACAACTGGAGACCCTGGAGGAGGATGCATAAATACTGTTGGAGTTTCTCTTTAGGAAAGGTGATTCCTTTCACCTTTCTGCTGAGTTAGACATACTGTGTTTTCATTAAATCATGTGCTCAGTGGGTTTGACATAAATGCTCCACTTTCCATATTAATTGGTAATGGCATTTCTGACCTCAGTTTACTGTTTTGGATAAAACTTTCCTTAGCATGAAAAGTACCTTACTGATCATTTACATATATGTTCTCAATCACTGTCAGTTAATTCATTATATGAAAATAAATAAATACCTTAACAAGAATCTCATGATCACGTTTAAAACCCAACTCCCACATGTTCCCAACTATAGGGTTAGGCATCGATCCAGCTGATAACTGGCTACCTGGCCACCTATCACAGCTTTAGAAATTGCACAGTCCTATGAAACACAGTCAAAGCTATTACAAACATGACTTAACACAAATATCTTCCTGCTGCTTTATCCATCAATACTCAGGGCTGTTGCTGTGAAATGCTGAACTCTTACTGTCTCTTTTCTAGCTTGTGGCTCTTCCTGATATTTCTTCCTCCCCTGTGTTGCTTTCTCTCATTTCTTGTCACCGTCATAATCCAGAATTGCCAGGCTAAGGGGTACTTAATGATATCTTTCTACTGAAGAACGATTCACTGTTTCTGCCAGCCAAACCACAGCGACTAGACATTAACCCTCTCAGAAATCGTGAGTCCCAGATTTTAAAAGTAAAACCAGCAAATGTTAAAATGTTCAATTTTATGCAGCCTTACGTTTTGCGACATGAGCTGCTGCATGAGTTTACTATTAGCATTTTATTCCCCTGCTTGCCTGAGAAGCAGGGCAAGAATTACATGAAATCAGAGTTTTTTAATTTGCTTTGTTGTTTGCATAGCTCAGGTTTTGATCGAATTCATCTTAATGAGGTGGTTTAAAAGGAGGGGGGCTACGCAGTGTAAAAGAAGCTTCCCTTCAAAATGAGTACCTAATAGCAGTAACTGTGGCTGTACAAGCTGGTTGCCTGCCTGGATCATAGAATATCATAGTTGGAAGGGACCTCAGGAGGTCATCTAGTTCAACTCCCTGCTCTAAGCAGGACCAATCCCCAGACAGATTTTTGCCCTAAATCGCCCCCTCAAGGATTGAATTTACAACCCTGGGTTTAGCAGGCCAATGCTCAAACCACTGAACTATCCCTCCCCCTCCCTACTGCTGGTTTGCATGTGCGGACGTCTGGATTTTTGTGGTCAGCAGTGTCTGAGGCTGCACATGCACTGAGTTCCCCTACAGCCCCTTACCCCCTGAGGGCACGTAACGAGGTGCAGTGCAGACCCACCTCAGTTCCTTCACTAATTTAGAATCCAGGAGCAGTTTAATCCCCAAAGTAAAGGGGAAGAAGAGAAGGGTGGAGATTCACAGGAAGACATTGAGAACCATATTTCCTTCTTCTTCTTCTTCTTCTTCTAGTACTGTCAGTGTGGATCCTCACTAATGCTGAATGTATTGAGGATTGTTTGAAATTGCAAGCTATCACTTTGAGAGTGTCCCTGACCAACCGGCTCTGCAGAAAGCATGTGACCAGAAAGAGCCCGCTGGCCTCGAGGAAGGTGGGGTGAGTTGAGCCTTTCTGCTTTGGGGTTCTTCGTGTTATAATTTGAATTCTAAGAAAGAGCAGTGTTACGTTGCCACCTTCCAGCAAGAACATTTCAGATTTTTAATCTAACTTCTTTGTATGCCACGAAACGTAGCATAAACAACCCCCAGCAGGGTCTGGGGCATCCCTAGCCGGAGACAGGGTAGTTTGGCTCTTCCAAATACGGAATCAGACCTAGAAACTAGGTCTAGAAAGCAGTTCAGGGATGGAACTCAACAGTCCAGCTTTAGCTCTAAGACCAGGACATTTCTGAGGCATGCAGCAGACGCTGCTCTGGATCTGCTGTAACAAACCCTGGTGCAATAGGAAGGGAAAGAAGTGCTAGTTCATAGCAGGTTTGGTAGACTGTAAACATACGAATAATAATATAGAAACGCAAGAAACCTATTGGCCTAGACTAAGAATTAGGCTAAGAGCAAGGCCTCAGAGCCTTAGTAGAAGTTGTTTAATGAAGTTAGCAGAAGTAAGTAAACTAACAGTGACCTTAAATCATAAAATGGCATAAGACTTTGTTTTCCCTGTTTTGTCATAATCACAAGTGCTGAAAGACTAAAGAAGGCAGTTGGTATCAGATTTAGAGCATTTTTGGAAGAAAACATCAGCAGATGTTGAATCGCAGGTAGCTATGGTAATGTTGATGTGTCTTTTAATGAGTTTGAACGAGTTACTATACTTACCAATGTGATAAGGGCACCCCAGTATTATGAGGGTGAGGAAGTTAAGTTATGGTAAAGGAGGGAGGAGTCACTCATGCATATGCAGGATGGCCATCAAGGCCTAGAGAACATCTGGCCATGGATTAGGCCATTGGAGTTCTCTACTGGTAAGCCAGAGTCAGACTAGGATCTGTCTCAACCTTTTGATTCCTCGCCAAGGATAGAGTGATTATACACGGGCATTGGTTACTTTCCTTGCTGTTGCCTCTGGGGAGCTAATATCTGGCTGATTCCCCAATTTACAGCATGTTTTAGTGACCACCATACAACACAATTCTCATAACTTCATATGCATCAATGATACACATATGTGGATAGAGAAGTGACTTTCAGCAGATCATAACCTTTCCCCTGATACATCTAAAGCATGCCTTGTAAGGCAAGATCACGATTATATGAAAATGAGGAATACGAGTACGTCCTCCCCCAAAGTATAGAATGTCACAACTACTTTTTGGAATCACAAAGTGAAGACTTTGACAGTGGAAGCCATTTAGCTGAGCATAGGAGAGAGGGGCACAAGCTAAAAACTTGTCAATAATTAATCTGATAACTTGGTGGTACAGAGTGACCTTTAACAACTTATAAAGTTTACACAGCTCCCAGTACAGTCCTAGGCATGACAAAGGTTAACATTCACAACACGTTCTTTTCTTGTGCCTGTTCCACATCCAGAATTCAGACCTGAGGGACATTGTGTAACACAAAGTCCAGTATTTCATTGGTGATGCTGGATGTAAACTCTGCTGAACTCAACTGAGCCCCACTACCCAGGATGCACATTGACTCGTAAAGGCAGATCGCTGCAGCTAATTGTCTAGTAGCATTTCAATCTCATGGTACATCCTCTGAACCTGCCACCGAATTTTTAACATCTCAGCCCCTTTCTATTACTCTGTGAACTTTGACTGAACTGCATCAAACTGATTTAAACTGAATAAACTTGCTGGGTTTGTACCATGAGAACCCAGCTAATTCAACTCTTGTGTCCAGATTAGCCCAATTTCGCAATGTGAACTGCATTGAACTCATGATCTCAATTCAATTGAGCAAACCAGGATAACGTCTAACAATGAGACTCCGTTCTAGGCAGATGTATTTGGGGGGCAATATGAAGGCAGGAAATGAGGCTTACCTGTAAATTTTCAAAAGGGCCGAGGGCCTAGCTTTCCTTTTTTGCACGTGCAATTTGCAATGCCGTTCTCTCCGTTCACCCTCATTCATTTCTGACAACCTAGCCTGGCTCCGTACTGGCTAAGAAATGCCTCCAAAGATGCTTCGGATCTCTCTCTCTCTAACCCAATCCCCTCTTGGTCAGAAGCTTCCTTTAGAGAAACCCCACTGTTCCTCAGAACTTCCCCACAGCAGCTCAAAACTGCGCCCAATCCCCCTGCCCGGCTCCCAGCGGCCTCATGGCCCCCACAGCCAGAACTACCATCGCTCGGAGAATGTTCAGCCCTTGGAGGCACTGGCCGTTGGGCATGAGTTCCCTTCCCCCATGTTCCCTTCAACTGCCACTGCCCAGCCCTCTCTGGAACCTTCTGAACACAAGCAGCAAAGGAACTCGGCACTAGGCTTCATTCACTGTTATTCCAGCTCCATCGTACTTCAGACACGATAGCTGTATCCTTCATTGGTCTCTCCCTCTTCAGTCTTTCCAGATGAATTAATTTTCAGTCACTGTGAGCCCTGGCCTCCTGCCTCAGGAATAAAAATCCCTGATTTAGCTCCAAAAATTCCATCCTCCAAGCTGAGAAACACACACACACACACCCTTCCTACCCATTTTCCCCACAGTACTCATTAAAAAAAATCTGTTCTTTCGCTCCCTCTGGCAGGCTGAAGGTGAATGCCCACAGCAGGCTGGTGAAGATGATGAAGATCTCAGTCCTTGCCAGGTGCTCCCCCAAACACACATGGTGCCCTGCAGAGGGACAAGGGGAAGGGCAGTAAGTACCCAAGGCTTTCGCATCTCACAGCCCACTTTGTGTAACGCGAAAAGCAGCCTTGTTCATCTCACCATAAAGCATAATATTTTTGCTAATCTTGGCAATTTTACCCTTGAGACTAAGGTAGCGAATAATACAAATCTGTAATTCTGCCTTTAAAAGATCCCACCCAGGGTTATATGAGATCAGGAGCCACTTGTGCTGTGAATTCAACTTCAACTACCTCAATGACCAAATCTTTCCCTGAATGAGAATCTTAAAGAAATTCCTTCAGGCCCCATCACGGTTTCCTTCTTATCCACATACAGCCTCATTCACCTTGTGTGGGAGATGCTGAGGTCCAGGCTCACACCCATGGAACATCTGCACAGCTGTTTGCAAATGTTTTCCAACTATCTGTCTGGGAGCGAATGGATCCTAGTTCCTTTCATATGAATTAAGCAGCAAGTCCTTTAGTTGTCCAGAGGCATGGTCACTCTACATACAAACCAAGAGACCAATGGCCACTTCCAAGTGATCATTTCCACATGTCCATCACTAGAGCCTGGGAAAGGGGGTCTGAAGCATTTTAGAACAAAACCATGCTTGATCTTATGAAGAGCACTGGATTGCCTAGGGAGGTTGTGGAATCTCCATCTCTGGAGATACTTAAGATTAGGTTAGATAAATGTCTATCAGGGATGGTCTAGACAGTATTTGGTCCTGCCGTGCGGGCAGGGGACTGGACTCGATGACCTCTCGAGGTCCCTTCCAGTCCTAGAATCTATGAATCTATGAATCTAATAGAGAGCACTAACGTACACTTCAGTTGATGTTTTATTATTTGCATTGTGACTTTTCTCCTCTTTCTTCAACTTTTTCTTAAAATTCAGAAAGTTCTTCCCCCGTGGGCACTGTTTTTCCTCTCATTCTAACATATCCCAACATGCACTATGTGGGTAAACTCACTGGTTAGCAGAGAGTTCCCCTGTGAGAATAAGGCAAATCAGTTTTAGGCATTATTCAGCAAATCTCTTTGGTCTTCCATATTTTTATTCTGTAGGATAAATATTTACATTGGGAGTGAAAGATGTAGCTGGATGGCACAAAACATGGGAAAAGCTTGAAAGTAACCATATTGGAACTGGCATTTGGATCATCATGTTCCATGTGGAGTTTTCAGAGAGAGAAGTTTTGGTTACACTGCCCACAGATTTTGAATAGACTCCCCAAGTTCTACACTCACAAACTAACCCAATTAAGGTTAGAATTGTCTGTGCAGTCATAGGCACTGACTCCGTGGGTGGTCCGGGGCTCAAACACTCAGAAAAATATATGGGGTACTCCACACCCACTATTCATAGTGGTTCAGTGCCCCGGTGGCTGGCTGCCGATCAGCTGTTTGGTGGGCCCCAGGCAGGGGCGGCTCCAGGCACCAGCGCAGCAAGCGAGTGCCTGGGGCGGCAAGCCGTGGGGGGCGGCATGCAGGTCACCATGAGGGCGGCAGTCAGGCAGCCTTCGGCGGCATGTCCTGCGGCTTCAGTGCCGAAGGCACAGGACCGGCAGATCACCCGCCGAATCTGCCTGACTGCCGTGCTTGGGGCAGCAAAAAACATAGAGCCGCCCCTGTCTCCAGCAAATGCTGAAACAGCCCAACTGTTGTCAGTGTCTTTAAAGCTTGAATATTAGAAGTAAAAGTGGGCTCCATGTCACTGGTGACGTAAATATTACTGCTTTTCTGCAACGTGGCCGCTGCCGGTAGCAAGCTTGAAAATGACAGTCTTTGGCCTGGTCTACACTACGACTTTAATTCGGATTTAGCTGCGTTAATCCGAATTAATCCTTAACCCGTCCACACAACGGAGCCAGTTACTTCGAATTAAAGGGCGCTTAAAATCGATTTCTGTACTCCACCCCGACGAGCGGAGTAGCACCAAAATCGATTTTGTAAATTCGAATTAGGGGTAGCGTGGCCGCACACCACCGAATTAATGTGGTTAAAATTAATGGGGTAGTGTGGCCGCACACCACCGAATTAATGTGGTTAAAAACCGAATTAATGTGCTTAGTGTGGCCGCACACAATCGAATTTATACAATCTGTTTCCCAAATTCGAATTATCTAAATTCGAAGTAATCTCGTAGTGTAGACGTACCCTGAAATAAACAGTTTAATGTCCAGTATCTTCTGAATTACTCCTGTGTAGACAGGCTTGTCACTGTGTGACTAGAGCTGGTCAAAACATGGAAAAACCATTTCACTACAATATTTGAAATTTCAACTTTGTTCCCATTGTGCAGGGTTCTAAATGGAACCACTGTTTTGGTTTGTTTGTTTTGAAAAACAAATTCAAAATACTTTTCTAACAATTTTGAATTTTCTACTTTGCAAAAGTTTTAGACTGTCAAAAGGAAAAATGAAATGCTACAATTCTGGTCCCGTATAACTTTTTAAAATGTGGAGAAGCTTTGAAAAGTTACAGGGTGGCAAAGGGAAAAATTGAAGAAAACTAGACATTATCCCTTCTATTGCATTCAGCGGCAGAAAGGAGAAAAGGGGAGGGGGGAAGAGAGAGACAGGATAAGAAAACAAACACCTGAAATTTCAAAATTTTTGGTTTTGATGAATAACTGAAACACTTTGAAAAACCACATGAAAGTTTTTGGTTTTGAAAAAAGGCCATTTAAATCCAAATCATGTGACAGACAAATTCTGCATCTGACCTTCTGCACATTGCAATAAATTTGAACTGAAATTTGTCCAGGTCCCTCTCCTTATTGACTTATCGGATGGAGAGAGACTCAGGGCTTGTCTACACCAGTGGAGAATAAATTCTACTCCACGTGAGTGTGTCATGCAGTAAGTGGCTCATGCGGACCCTGCTGGCATGCACTAGAAGTTCCCTCATCCACATTAATGTCTTCCAGTTTCAAACCGTACTACGTTCATGTAAATGAGGGAACTTTTAGTGTGTGCCAGCGGGTCTACACAGGCCAGTTAGCACAGGACAGGTTGGTGCAGCCAAGAAATGACACCCCACAAACTCACCGCGTAGACCAGCCCTCAGAGAACTGAACCAACTGCTTCTTCCTTGCAGGGCACCCTCATTCTGCCAAATTTAGACTCTGTCCTCTTTGATCCTGAGAAATGGGAGTCTCCTCGACAGTTCAGCCCAAGTCGTTTCTTGGATAAGGAAGGAAATTTTGTGAGCAGAGAAGCTTTTTTACCATTCTCAACAGGTAAATGCACTGACGGATAAACACTTCTTCTTTGAGTAATATCCCTATGGGTGCCCCGCTCTAGGTGCGCTGCGCCCCGTGCACCATTGATTGGAGATATTTCATAGCAGTGTCCGTTTGGCACATGCATGGGTGTTACTCAGTCTTGTGCTCCATGCCATTGTTATGCAGCATTGCACGGGTGACCCGCCCTCCATTCCTTCTCAAAAACCTTGGCCAGAGATGGAGCCTTTGCAATTGTCTATGTTCAGTTTTACCTCAAGTTTGTCCTCTCAGCTCTTTTAGTAGTTAGTTTATTATAGTGTTTATTAGTCCCAAGAGAAAATTACAAGTTCAGCAAAAATACCTTTGCTTTCCGGTGAGAATGAACAATGTTGCATCTGAAAAGTGCATGTAAGTTAGAAGGTAGCCTGTGGAGATATAAATCATGCCCATGTGTACAGAGGGAGTATTTCTTCCGCTGGAAGAGCTTCACATTGTGAATATGCCTTTGTGTAACAGAAGGTTTGGGTTAAAATCAAACAGTTCTGAAAGTGCCTGGAAATATATAGCAGAATAAGACGAGCTGCTAATCTTCATAATTGAAGGGCAGCACCCTTTGTGTGTGTATGGGTGTGTGTATATATATAACAGTAGCCTGTTGCTGTTGAACTTTCCAGCTTCGTACATCAATATCCCCTTGAGTATGGTAATCTCTCCCAACTCAAGCAGCAGAGCCCCCCAGCCCATTCCCCATAATGATCAGCATTGTACAGATAAATCTGTCGAGATCAGTAGACAGCCACCTTTTCACAGTGTCTTTGCTTGTGATTATAGCCACATAAACACCCATGATAGGTGCCAAGTTCTTGCTGATGAGTGGGGGCAGGCGCAGTGATATCCGGGAGTCAGGTTGCTTTCTGACGAGAATGAACAATCTTGCTTCTGAAAAGTACCTGCAAGTTGGAAGGCCGGCCTGTGGAGACAGAAATCCTTGGGTACTTACTGTCCTTCCCCTTCTCTTCTTCAGGGTCCCGTGTGTGTTTGGGGGAGCAGCTGGCAAGGAGTGAGCTCTTCATCTTCTTCACCAACCTGCTGAGGGCGTTCAAGTCCACCCTCCCACAGGGAGTGAAGGAAATCAGCACAAAGCTTGTTTTGGGGAGAACAATGCAGCCCCAGCCATATAAGCTCTGTGTTGTTCCTCGTTAGGCTGCAGTGCATCACAGATCAGGAGAAGAATCATTCTTCAAGATTGCTTGACCCCATAACTTTCCTCCTTGCAGCTCTTATTCTTTTTCTGGTGTCAGCATCACACATTATCACAAGCTGCTAGACCCTGGGCAATGCAACTGAACAGTGCAACTGTTTCATCATTGTCGTGTGCTCAGAAAGTCTTTGTAAATTTCTTCCAGATGTGCTACACATTAAAAAATTACAGCAAAGAAATTTAGCATCTGACTTTACTTCTCACTGACCTGAAAACTGACTAGTGGGAGGAAGAATTTAAAAAGGTAGATGCTGTCATTTATTATAATATTGAGGTGACAGGGTTTTAATATAATAAATCCTGTAATTCATGTATGTGAACTGTGAATTGAGGTGTTGAATCTGTAAAGATCTATGTACTACTACTGTAAATCTGTAGCAACTGAGTGTTTCTTTGCATAAAGATCTACTATGCTTTAATCTGAAAAGGTGTTAAACACAATAGAAGCAGAGGAGGGGAAGGGCAGTGGCAACAAGGGAGGGACAGAGGGAGGAAAATGCGCGGATGTTGTATGGAATTAGATCTCTGCGGGAAGAACTAGTAGAGCAACGGGGAGATGCAGCCTTCACAGCTGCAATAGATTTGTTTAGCTACAGACAAGGTGGTTAAAAAAGCAGTGAAATGCTGACCATAAGTCAGGTTCTCATAACCTCGATTGTCTCTCTTCTGATCGTGAAGTTTCTGAAGTTGCGACAGGCACAGGAAGACAACTTCCTCCTGGACCAATTCCCCTCCCAGTTGTTGGAAATTGGGCGCAGATCAATTTTCAGTTTCATCGTGATCTCCTCATGAAGGTATTTATTCTTAGACACTCTGGTTGGTTGACGGTCTAATGGGCTAATTGAGAAAATAAGTGAAATTTATTGGTAGCAGAAAGTAGTTTTACATGCTTGGGAAAGTTGTGGTCAAAGTATTGTGAATGTGAAAATCAGCCTGATTGCTAAACTCCATCTCTTTTTAATGTGGGATGCGTCAAATTCATATGAAACCTGATGTTTATAAGAATTAAACAACAGGGGACAGTATTTCTGACTAGTGAAGAAGGAAAAGGAACACATTTTTAAAGAGGGACTTTCAACAATATAGAACTTTCAGACACATTGGTTTTTAACCCTTAGAGCACTGGCGTTTTTCTAGCTCACCAAAGGATTAGCACTACGTGTTGTACGTTTATGTCTGTAGTACTGAAAAGGTTACAAATCAACAAATCTCTTCAGTTCTCACTCGTTTTCTTCAGGGCTTGCTGCTTCTCAGTCCATCATTGGCCCTTTCTGCTCAATCCTGCAGTGAATCCATAGTGCTCAGTAGATGACCTCAGCAACTGGGGCAATGTACAGATTCCTGTCATCTCACTGCAGGATCAGGCAGAAGGAGAAGGCACAGTGTGAGGGATAATGATCTTATTGAAGTACTGGTATCCAAAATTATTGTAAAGCGAGAAATAAAAAATGACTGGCTGAGTCAGGTGCATCTAGTTCATGTGGGGATGGGTGCCTTAGGAATGTTATTCCTAACTTATAGCTTCTTGCATAATATGTTTTTCTCCAAAAGTGAATGTGGGTCCATGCTTCATTTGCAAGACTGGTTGGAGTCCCTCTGGTAAGTCTTTGATCCAGACTCATGAACCAGTAGCAGAGCAGTGAATATCTGCTCCTGTATGGGACACTGTGCTTCCAACCATCAGTTCTTTTCTAACCTTTGATGATGTCAGGAATCAGTGAATACCATTGAAATGCTCCTGGGGTGCAGGTGAGTCCCGGCAGGTGGATTCCATCATCGTCAAAGATTAGAAAAGAAAGAATGGTCACTTACCTGTATAGTAACCATTGTTCTTCGAGTGAGTGTGCCCACATACATTCCACTGCAGGGGTCTGTGTGCACAGTGCTTTTGAGTTGGAAACTTTTGCCAGGCAAGGGCATAAAAGGGGCGCCCACCGCCTCTCTCTCAGTTCCTTCTCACTGCCCATGGCGAGAGTTGGAGGTCCCTGTAGCATTTGCATCAGTTAGCCAGCATTTTATAGTTTTAGTGTTTATAGTCAGTAGTATTTAGTACTTAGTTAGTTATAGTTTAGCAGTTTCCTGGAGGATTTTGGTATGAAAAATTCCCCAGGTTTTGAGCAGTGTGCCACAGGCAGGGCTGTTATCCCTGTCGCAGATTTGTCTTGGTGAGGGCCAGGTGAGGGATAAATGCCCTATTTGTACCTTGTTCCGCGCCAGGACTAAAAAACAGAGACTTTCCTCTAAAAAGCAACAGAGAGTCCTGTGGCACCTTTAAGACTAACAGATGTATTGAAGCATAAACTTTTGTGGTGCGTCTGACGAAGTGGGTATTCACCAATGAAAGCTTATGCTCCAATACATCTGTTAGTCTTAAAGGTGCCACAGGACTCTCTGTTGCTTTTTACAGATCCAGACTAACACGGCTACCCCTCTGATACTTTCCTCTAAAAGGTCGCCTCATGAAAGAATTGAGGCATCCTGCACTGGTGCCAAGCCCCGATCACGAGGAAGGGAAGTCAAAATCAACCAGGTGTCCCCTCCAGTTGTTTCACAAGTCTGGTGACAAGCATCACACTTTTAATCTTCACCGCCAGCCTCGTTGAAGCGCTCCAGGCATTCTGACATTTACAAGAGCACAAAGTTTCAGGCCTCTCCCAAGCTTTCTGGTGAGTCTTCTGGCATGAGATCAAGGCTTCACAAATCCAAGTGCAGTCCCGTCTGAGGCGCCATCAATAACTCTGGCTCCTTCGGGGCTGTTGAGACTGATATGTTCACGCGTGCCGGGTCCTTCTTCCTCCTTTCAGATGATTCGCTCTGTCTTGGCTCCAGTCTTGCTAAAGTCTCTCCTAACTGTTCAGTCCACCAGGGCTCAGTCCACTTCGTCAGCCTTTCTGGGCAATGTTCCAATAGCTGACATCTGCAAGGCAGCGATGTGGTTGTCTTGCATACCTTACGCCATCACTCAAGTCTCTTGTGGCGAAGCCAACTCTGGCAAGTTGGCGTTACACTCTCTGTTCAGAAGATCTGAAGCCCCTCCTCCTGTAAGGGAAATGCTGATGTATATGTATATTTGCACAATCACTTGACGGAGAAAAATGGTTACTTACCTGTACAGTAACTGTTGTTCATCCAGCAACTCTCCCCCCTTCCCAGCTACTTCAGACGTTACAAACAGAGGTGTGAAGGAATGGCAAGAGAGATGGTGGACATGCCTCTTTTATGCCCTCACCTAAAACCAGGAGGAGAGCAGGAGCACATGCACAGTCTACTGGTACTGCTGGCAAAAGTCTCTGACTCGATTGCATTGGGTGCCCAAACACCTGCCGTGCAATGTATGTGTGCACAACACATCTGGAAGCACAACAGTTCCTGTACAGGTAAATCACCGTTTTTCTTTTCTAACCTGTGATGACGATGGAATCCTACTGCCTTGACTCACTCACACACAGTGGCAGCTCAAAGGTATTCACAGAATCCTGACTTGCACCCTCCACTCTCTGATGGCTCAGGCACAGTCTGGCCCGATCCTATTAGAAAGGGATGGTTTATTTAAGGCACTAGGGACTATCAGAGTTCCGTGGGTTGGGGGGGGGAGGTAGATGGGATGTGCCAGCCTATTACTTGCTGGTGAACATAATTTTCACTAGGTAACATGGTCCTTAGTATGTGGCTCTGTTAGGAGAATAAGAGTTACAGATTTCATTCCAATTCATTGCAAGGGGTGGAAGAAATTATGACAGGTTATTGGAAGTAGGCCCCTTGGATAAGAAATGGGGGATTTTATACTCTCCGTGTCATTTGTTCCTTTGATCCTTGCGTATAGTTTTTGCAACTGTTTAGGGCCAAAGTGAAGTTTGGGTGGGTGGTGATAGTCAGGTGGGCTTGGAATGAATGATGAAAGATTGTGTCGCTGTGGGAAACAGGGTGAATCTCTTAACTGCTCATTTCCAGATATTCTAAATTTTTTTGGGGGGGAGGGAGGTTAAAGGGTGTAAAGATGTTGTCAAGGCCAGGATTTTGGCCCTGCTCCACTCCCATTGCGCTCCTTTAGCAGAGCAAACAGGATGGAAAATGGGCTTAATCAACCACTGGGGATTCTCCTTGTGTAGAAGATTCTCTGGGTGTCGTGACTGTGACAGAACAGGGAGAGCAGTCTTGTGGGAGGAGAAAAGGTGGCCCTAGTACATTATGGCCCAGTGATCCTGGACTAGCAGAATGGCCCCTAATGATAAAATTAGCTGGCTGGGATAAATTAGAGCATCTCTGATGCTGTGGAGAGCGAAAAGGATCACCACAAAATCATTCCTAACAGTGAATATAATGAGTAGACCCATCCCTGTTCTTGGGGACAACTCAGGAAACAACAACAACAAAAAACTGATAGTGAGGTGAAATGTTCCTGCTGGTATCCTGATCCCATAGATGAGACGGGAGTATCCCCCGTTTCAGAGCCCCTGAGAGATCCTCATCAGTGAGAAGAGGACCCTTTCCCGGGAAGGAGGGAGAGTCTGTGGATCTACAGGATATAGCTACATCAGTACTTCCCATCGGAGGGCAACCTGTCTTAACCAGTCATAATGCTGGTGCCTCCCTGTGCAACTACATTCCTCATCTCCATTCCCCTTTCCCTCCTCTGACCTTCCCCCGTCCTCATCCCTCTCCTGCCATTTCCCTACGAATGTTAACACTACTATAGATATAAAACGTTGTTTCTGTTACCCAGCAAAGGGGATCATTAGCGCTGACATTTTTATTTGCTGCGATACACATTGCAATACGTTGGTTATTGTTTATTTATTTAAAGACCCAACTTAAAAAAAAAGAATATAACTGGAAACTAATAGAACATGCTGAGAGCAACACATTCCCCACAGAACTGAAATTACAGCTGGGCGAAAACTTTATCGGCTGAAAAATTCAGTTTTGGTCGACCCAAAACTATTTGTGAATTCGCTCAAGAGTCTGAGCCCACCAGACTCTTGGTGCTATTCACAAAATGGCCAGAGGAGGGGGTTAGCTGTGCTGATGCCACCTTTTAAGTGTAGACCTGCCCAGAGTTCTACACAGGGATCTCTGCAGCTTTCAGACTGGGCTCAAGAATAAAAGAAAGGAAGAAAGCTTTTTCCATTATCTCTTGATCTAGGTTGGCCAATCCACCCGTAGTTTATCATAGAATCATAGAATATCAGGGTTGGAAGGGACCTCAGGAGGTTCTAGTCCAACCCCCTGCTCAAAGCAGGACCAATTCCCAACTAAATCATCCCAGCCAGGGCTTTGTCAAGCCTGACCTTAGAAACCTCATCTCTGCCTTTCCTTTCTCTGATAGCAAGAGTACAGGATGGAGCAGCTGTAGGGTGACCAGACAGCAAGTGTGAAAAATCGGGACAAAGGGGTGGGGGGTAATAGGAACCTATATAAGAAAAAGACCCAAAAATCGGGACTGTCCCTATAAAATCGGGATATCTGGTCACCCTAAGCAGCTGGCTCTGTAGCAGCTACTGATGCTCTGTTTTGGCAGCCTGCAGAGATCACTGCACAGGGATGTTTACCCTAATATTACTGTAGAGGGTGAATTCCCATTTCGCCTTGAGTGCCTTCAGCCATGGGTACTGTTATGTCTACCTTAGATTTAGACTATGAGCTCCTTGAGGTTGAGACCATGTTTTTCTCGTTGTTTGTACAGGATGGAGTATTCTGACAGCATTCAGTAAAACTAAGTTAAGTTTCCAGAGAGTGAAAATCTTGCCCCCATGCATCCATTTCTGACAGTAGCTCAGCCACCACTAGTGTTTGCATTCTTCTACAAAAAGGCTCATAATTGACTAATTAACTACATGAATGAGATTCATGGTAAGCATATCCCTCTCACCTTGGATGTCTGCATTAAGCACCATATAAAGCAGGCCCCAGCACAGGGTAGTGATTAAGGTCTCAGATCCACCCAAGAAAAAGTCAAATATAATCTGAACCAAGTTGTCTTCATCATATGTAGATTTGGGTAGATCTTTAGAAAAGCTGAGGGTAGAGGACAGGAGATGTAACAGTTAATGGGATTCCATTGCTCTCTATCCCTGCAATGTGCACTGTCCAGGATATTCCAAAACAAAAAATACTTCTAAAAGGATATTCGAATCGATTGACTTATACAAAGAGATTTGCAAATAGTTTAGCAAGTAAACATGGGGTATTTACTCCACTGTTATTCCGGTGACCAGACTATTTGTTGTCCACAAGCACTGGACTGTTGGCTTAATCATGCAAATGTTAATATATTTGGAAAGCTCTGTGAATATTAGTAGAGCAAGTGCTCATCTGAAAACGTGTTCTTCATTATTCCTCACTTGTTATTCTCCTCTCACTCCAGCATGCCGTCAAGAACTACAGATAACAAACAGTGAACGGTGGATCATCTTGAGTTGGGGGTTCTCAAGTGGGAGAGCTGCAGACAGGCTCAGGGGGCGAAGACCATCTTCACTTTGTCTATGACTAGACTGGAGATGGGAGCGCCGCAAAACTTGTTCCTGTTTTAATACGGGAGCTCAATACAGGAAAGGTTGAGAGCCACTGGTCTAAATGAACAACTGCTGAAATCTGTTCACAAACTATTCAGTGCCTTTGTTTGTAGAAGCCAGGGAGCGGCTCTGTGACGAAGTGGGAATGTTCTTAATGTTTTCTCTAAATACTGTGTGGGTGCCTCAGTTTCCCCTATGCATTTCTTAAGTATCTAGGTGGTGAGATAAGGGTGTGCGATTGTTGCAGGGCCCTAGAGGGCAGGGGTGTGCAAGGGTCCGCACAGAAAATGGCCGACACCCTGTCTCCTGGCAACTGATAGCCTGGGCCCCTCCCCTGCAAAGGTGCCAACTGAAGGTGTTGGAGAACAAAGAGATCGGGTGATCTCCTGGCCCAGGAAAGAGACAAAGGCCAGAGAGGAGGGGCTGGAGAGTTTCAGTTTGGGGTTGGCTGGGAAAATGGAGGGGAGGCCAGACAGACCTCCTGGCCTCCCTTGGCCCCCCAAGATGGACCTAACTGAGGGGGTCCTGTTGTCTGTACCTGCAAGACCTGTCTTGGACTGTGTTCCTGTCATCTAAATAAACCTTCTGTTTTACTGGCCTGCTGAGAGTCACGGTGAATCGCAGGAAGCCAAGGGTGCAGGGCCTTGTCTTCCCCAACTCAGTGACAGGCTCCTCAGCTGTTGTCAATTATCATAGCCCCATTGAATTCCCATCTCCACTTCTACAATGATCAACGCCCCCCACAACACACTTTGCAAGGTCCATGGATCTTACACATGCCTATCACAACATGTGGCATAAGTGCACTCAATGCCCCAATAACAACTATGTGAGTGAAACCAGACAATCACTGCGCTCTCGAATGAACTCACGCAGGAAAATGAGACAAGACACAAACATCCCATCACCTACGGGTGAACACTTTTCACAAAGCAATCGCTCTGTATCTGACCTATCCGTCCTCTTCCACAAAGGAAACCTGCATAACACCTTCAGAAGAGAGCCTGGGAGAGAGGACTATTTAAACAGAGCTGTTGACTCGGTCAGGGGAGGAGACCTCACCAGGAGAAAGGAGTGGGGGAGTTCCCTCTCTGGGAGAGGCCTGGTGAAGTCAGGTTGGAAGAGGCCCACAGGGAGCAGACCAGCAGGCTGGCTCAGTGGGACCCCAAGAAAGAGTTGAGCACTAGGTCCAGAACAGAAGTGGATTACTTGAGACTTCCGACTACACCTAGACATTTTATTACCCTGGAAGGGGTTTGGACTTGCATGTCTCAGTTGGAGGGCTGAATGGCATGCAAAGGCAGATGGCCTGCAAGGGGCACTGGAGATGAAAACTAACAACTTTGTGCCCTGGTGGTGAGTCTGCCTCCCATTACAGCTACATCTCTCAGGGGTGGGGATTTTTCACATCCCTGAGAGAGAGCTTGCTGATGGTTGTTTTCAGCGTAGACCAGGCTACGTCTTCACTGTCCAAAAGGTGTTTTTTTCCAGGGAAATAACTAACACCTGACAGTTATGTTGCTGTAAAATCCAGCGGAGACAAGGCATCTGTAGTTTTTACTGCCTGGTAGCTAGGCAAGGTCAGCACTGTACTCCACGCCTGTGGTTGACCTGGCGTAGTGGTAATGCCAGGATTTTACAGTGGGATAGGTAAAGAACAGTAGCAACCTGCAGTAAAAACAGGCCTTCTTTTGGCAACGAAGACAGAGCCTGAGGGACTGATGGTCGGGGGGCACTGCACTGGGACTGTGTGTTTGCTGATAAAGATGTTGTAGTGATTTCTGGGGAAATTGCTGCCTCCCCTAAGGCTGTGGGAGGGTGCTTCACCCCAAAGCAAGGTGTGAGGGTTTGGAATGAACTACTACACAGAGCAACTCCACCGGAGAAGCGCTAACACTGGAAGTAAAAAGAGGTTCGATGCCATTGGTGACATAATATTGTTACTTCCCAGGAACGTGGGTGGCTGCCAGTGTCAGCCTTGAAAATGACAATTTGCAATAAAAACTTTACTGTTCAGTACAACTCCCAGTTTACTCATCGCCACGTGATCTTCTGCACACTGAAATAAATGAGGACTGAAAATTGTCAAAGTAACGTCCCTTATCCATCTCTCTCTACCCCAGGGGCGGCTCCAGGCACCAGCGCAGCAAGCGAGTGCCTGGGGCGGGGGGCGGCGTGCAGGTCACCATAAGGGCGGCAGTCAGGCAGCCTTCGGCGGCATGTCCCGCGGCTTCAGTGCTGAAGGCACAGGACCGGCAGATCACCCGCTGAATCTGCCTGACTGCCGTGCTTGGGGCAGCAAAAAATATAGAGCCGCCCCTGCTCTACCTGATGAAGAGAGATTGAGACATGCAACCGAATCAATGGCTTCCTCCTTGCAGGGCACTGTCGTTTCCTCAAATTTAGCCTCTGTCCTGTATGACCCTGAGCAATGGGAGACACCTCGACAGTTCAACCCAGGTCACTTCCTGGACAAGGATGGAGACTTTGAGAGCCAAGAAGTGTTCTTACCATTTTCAACAGGTAAATGCACTCACAGGTGCTGACTTTTTTTCTCCAGTGGGTGCCCTGCTCCACCTCTTCCCCCGAGGCCCTGCCCTCGCTCTGCCTCTTCCTGCCCCCACTCCGTCCCCTCTCCTGAGGGCCCCCCCCCCACAGGCCCGACACTCGTTCCTCTCTGCCTCCCTCAAGCACCTCCTGCCACACACTCACTGCTCCGCTGACCACCCTGGGGCCAGGGCCGGCTCCAGCTTTTTTGCCGCCCCAAGCGGCGAAGCGGGGAAAAAGAAAAAAAAAAAGGAAAGATAAAGCCGCAATCGGCGGCACTTCGGTGACAGCTCCGCCGCACCGCTTTCATTTTTCAGCGGCAATTTGGCGGCGGGTCCTTCGCTCCGAGAGGGACTGAGGGACCCGCTGCCGAATTGCCACCGAAGATCTGGACGTGCCGCCCCTTTCCATGGGCCGCCCCAAGCACCTGCTTCCTTCGCCGGTGCCTGGAGCCGTCCCTGCTTGCAACCTCATTGCTGGAAAAACACAGGCATGGCACACAGAGTGATCGGCCACTCCGAGACCTGGCAAATCTGTACTAGCATCGGGCTGTTTAGGGCATTGCTTTTAACTGCTCCTTTGACCAGGCGTACACTTGTATTGCCACATATACAGTCTTGGCCAGCTGGGCCAGACTCTTATTAGACAGGAGGCAAAAAGGGAGAGGGGTAGGAAAGAGAAGAAGAAATAAGGTGAGGAAGGAAAAGGACACACAAAGGGGTTGGGGGGAGATGACAAAGTCTCACACCTACAATTGGAGCCAGATTTAGTGGCTGGATTTTCTAAAGAGCTCAGCACATTGGTTGCTCTCTTGAAAATCTGATCCCAGTTGTGGGTGTTGAACATTTTATAAAATCTTTCCCCGTGATATCATGAAAATCTGGCCCCACATGCTCACTGTGGACAAAACCTTTCCCCTCCCAGCTCTATTCCCCTGCATCATCAGCCACCTAACGTGTATCTTCCTCCCTACAGACTTCCTGAAGTCTGCCAGACAGGTGCCCCTTTGATGGGCTTCGTAAAACCTGATGGGGCAGGACTCCCTCTTCTGCACAGTTTATACACCACCACACTTTAAATTATGGAACAACAGGTGTGGCAGATGACTAGATTTGGTTTTTCAGTACATATACATCCTTCTAAACATTTATTTAATGGGAAGTCTAAAAAATAAGCCAGCGCTTTAAGGGTCAAATCCAATATATTTAAACATTTCTACAATATGAAAATGTATTCCTTCTTCCTCTTCATGAGGCAGAAATACTGTCCTCAGTGTTGTTTAATTCTTATGCACATCAAGGTTCCATATACATTTGACACAATCCCTATTTAAAAATGACAGAATGATCCAAGTTGACTTTCATATCTCCAGTTCTTAAGATAAAACTTTCTTTAGCATGAAAAAAAAAAACCTACCTTATACTACCAATAAATGCAACTAATTTTCCCTGTCAGCTTATTAGTCCATTAGTTAGTTATCTGGAAATACATACCTTATTGAGGCTGTCATGATCAACTTTAAAGTTCAGCTGCCACAAGCTTCCAAGAATGGGGAATGGGGTTGGTCCCGGAGGAAGGCGTCTATGTGCCCATTGCAACTTCAGAAACTGCACTATCAGGAGAAACACAACCAGCCCTATGAGAGTCTCGCATATTGTCAGCATTTTGCTGGTGCTTTATAGGGTTACTCTCTGAAAAGTCTGTTGCAGATATACAGGCTGAACCCTCTTTCTTGCTTTAATAAGCTCTGTGTATCTCTCCAATCTCCCTCCCGCCCTGTTCTTAGAGTCCTAGGATGTTCACCTTCTAGAGTGCGTTTAATATATCGTTATTATGTTGTGTTAGGTTAAACCTCATGGAAACTGGTGGGCATAACAGCTATCCTTCATTGGGATAAAAGTATGAAACAGCTAATCTCCTTTATAGCTGAAGCAATAGGAGCCTCCACCCAAAACACAGGCGCATATGAGACACTTTTACAGAACTTTTAGCGCTCAGTAGCAGGGTCCGCACGGCCAGTCAGTGTGTGGCGTGGCAGGCTAGGCCACGGTAGACTTACACCCCAGCTTGCCACATGTTAACGGGCCTTATAGACATGCCTTTGAGGACCTGTGGCATTTGCCATGGAACCTGAGTCTTTCCTGGCACCAGCCCACCAGAAGAGGAAGAAACACTAGTGAGGAAGATGGACGCTGATCATCATGATTGCTGTCAGTACAGCTCTGTGTCTAATACATATAGTGGGAAAGGGGATTCTAATCTGGTTCATGACAGAATTGTACTGAAAGGGGTTAGTGGCTGCCATCAACCACAGACCTGATTGAAATTGATTCATAGATTCTAGGACTGGAAGGGACCTCGAGAGGTCATCGAGTCCAGTCCCCTGCCCGCATGGCAGGACCAAATACTGTCTAGACCATCCCTGATAGACATTTATCTAACCTACTCTTAAATATCTCCAGAGATGGAGATTCCACAACCTCCCTAGGCAATTTATTCCAGTGTTTAACCACCCTGACAGTTAGGAACTTTTTCCTAATGTCCAACCTAGACCTCCCTTGCTGCAGTTTAAGCCCATTGCTTCTTGTTCTATCCTCAGAGGCTAAGGTGAACAAGTTTTCTCCCTCCTCCTTATGACACCCTTTTAGATACCTGAAAACTGCTATCATGTCCCCTCTCAGTCTTCTCTTTTCCAAACTAAACAAACCCAATTCTTTCAGCCTTGCTTCATAGGTCATGTTCTCAAGACCTTTAATCATTCTTGTTGCTCTTCTCTGGACCCTTTCCAATTTCTCCACATCTTTCTTGAAATGCGGTGCCCAGAACTGGACACAATACTCCAGCTGAGGCCTAACCAGCGCAGAGTAGAGCGGAAGAATGACTTCTCGTGTCTTGCTCACAACACACCTGTTAATACATCCCAGAATCATGTTTGCTTTTTTTGCAACAGCATCACACTGTTGACTCATATTTAGCTTGTGGTCCACTATAACCCCTAGATCCCTTTCTGCCGTACTCCTTCCTAGACAGTCTCTTCCCATTCTGTATGTGTGAAACTGATTTTTTCTTCCTAAGTGGAGCACTTTGCATTTGTCTTTGTTAAACTTCATCCTGTTTAACTCAGACCATTTCTCCAATTTGTCCAGATCATTTTGAATTATGACCCTGTCCTCCAAAGCAGTTGCAATCCCTCCCAGTTTGGTATCATCCGCAAACTTAATAAGCGTACTTTCTATGCCAATATCTAAGTCGTTAATGAAGATATTGAACAGAGCCGGTCCCAAAACAGACCCCTGCGGAACCCCACTCGTTATGCCTTTCTAGCAGGATTGGGAACCATTAATAACAACTCTCTGAGTACAGTTATCCAGCCAGTTATGCACCCACCTTATAGTAGCCCCATCTAAATTGTATTTGCCTAGTTTGTCGATAAGAATATCGTGCGAGACCGTATCAAATGCCTTACTAAAGTCTAGGTATACCACATCCACAGCTTCTCCCTTATCCACAAGACTCGTTATCCTATCAAAGAAAGCTATCAGATTGGTTTGACATGATTTGTTCTTTACAAATCCATGCTGGCTATTCCCTATCACCTTACCACCTTCCAAGTGTTTGCAGATGATTTCCTTAATTACTTGCTCCATTATCTTCCCTGGCACAGAAGTTAAACTAACTGGTCTGTAGTTTCCTGGGTTGTTTTTATTTCCCTTTTTATAGATGGGCACTATATTTGCCCTTTTCCAGTCTTCTGGAATCTCTCCCGTCTCCCATGATTTTCCAAAGATAACAGCTAGAGGCTCAGATACCTCCTCTATTAACTCCTTGAGTATTCTAGGATGCATTTCATCAGGCCCTGGTGACTTGCAGGCATCTAACTTTTCTAAGTGATTTTTAACTTGTTCTTTTTTTATTTTATCTGCTAAACCTACCCCCTTCCCATTAGCATTCACGATGTTAGGCATTCCTTCCGACTTCTCGGTGAAGACCGAAACAAAGAAGTCATTAAGCATCTCTGCCATTTCCAAGTTTCCTGTTACTGTTTCTCCCTCTTCACT